TCTTCATTGGCTTGCTTGGTGGAACTTTCCTAGCTATTTGCTTGGACTGTTGAAGTAGACTCAATCTGAACTCTCAGATTTGAGACTCTTGGCTCTTTTGAAAACTCTTTCATATTAGTCTTCTCCAAGCATTCGGTCTTGATACTCATCAAGCTCGGGTATTTATCAAATTCAATCACACCAGAGCTTCTACTGCGTACTGAAGCTCAACTGCAACTTCATTCGGATCGTCCAAGGGAAGCAAAATCGACGCAAGTATTCGAGGGAGGCATCCTATCGCTACCGAAGAACTCACGTTAAACAAGGAGAGCCTTCTCTGCGCTTCTGTTGTAATCTTGAATTTCATTGATTTGTAATAAACATTCAATCAATAAAAATCTCGCATCGAGACCCAAATTTTACTCACCTACAGTATTCAATTTATTCAGTTAAGACATGATTATATTTATTAGATATCTCTTTTTACATCATGTCTAATGCATTTATTTCCCTTATTTTACCTGTTTTGTACCTACACTTATTGATTCTACTAGGAAGATATTACTGTAATGGTAAAATATGTTGTTACACGGTGTGGGTGCATAGCAGGTTTGACATCTTTGGGTTCACCTTGGACTACAGTCATGTGTGAAAATAGGGGCATCACACCGGATCTATCACAGGCAGTTAGCATGATTTCTTGATACATGCATGACCCAGGTCCGGGTCATTGGGAAGCCGTGAGGTGGATTTTAAGGTACAGTTAAGGTGCTCTCAATGTTGGTTTGATGTTTGAGTGGGACACTAGTGGTGGGCAATTGTGCATTGGATACGTCGATTCAGACTATGCTGGAAATGGACAAGCACCGGTCGACGACGGGGTATGTGTTCACTTTGACCCGTGAGCCGGTGTGTTGGAGATGCACCTTGCAGTCTACAGTTGCTTTGTCAACGACAGAGGTAAAGTACATGGCAATTACAGAGGCTGTTAAGGAGGCAATTTAACTTCAAGGACTTTTGGAAGACCTTGGTGTTTCGCAGCGGTCTGTTACTATTCATTATGATAGCATGAGTGTGGTCTATTTGGTGAAGAATCAAGTTTTTCATACGAGGACGAAGCACATTGACGTTCGCTATCACTTCGTCCGGGATGTTCTTGAAGATGGGGATGTGAAGCTTGTGAAGGTCCACACAAAAGAAAATCCAGCAGATATGCTCACGAATGTGGTCCCTAGAAACAAGTTCGATCATTATAGAATCTTGTTGCATATTCGTGCTTGTTGAGGCATGTCAAGGTCATTTGGATGAACTACGGGCGGCTTGATCTCTTGGGAGAGGGGGTACGTAGGCAACCACATTAGTACAGCCAGATTTGAAAAGACGACATATTGGTGCTCATGTTGGTGTTGGCTCAGTTTTGGGAATACTTCGCCGTGATGGAGAATTGTTGAAAGAGGCAAAAAATCACGTGAAAAAACAGCTACAGGAATATGCTCTGATCGGTCGACTGGTAGGGGTGTATCAGTCGACCGATAACTTGCACACTATAAGAACCAAAAAAATTCTACTGGACAGTCGAGCGATGATGCCTTGTCGGTTGACCGATGAACACCTACCAGTCGACCGATGAATTCTCATCAGTCGACCGATAGCGGGTTATTGGGTTGAATTGTTTCCTAGCCTGTTTTGGATTTGGGTGTTTATATCAATAGAAACACGTTTGTAAGGGCTTTTAATCAGAGAAAAGATATTGTTTTGTGCACTTTGAGAGGGAAATTATTGAGAGGGAGTGAGATCTTATTGGTTAGGGTTATTGTGTGTGTTTGAGAGTTGTAACCCATAGTGTTTCTCCTCTATATAGTAAAATCTCCTCATTCTCTCTCCGTGAACGTAGGCAACCTGCCGAACCACGTAAATCTCTGTGTTTATGATTGGTTTTGATCGTTTCATTGTGAATTGTGCTTGTGGTGTTCTTTGTCCATTGCTTATCGACTCGATGTGAATTTGTGCACGCTTTCGCCGGGCGCAACAATTTTGTCCAGCACAAACAACTTCCTAGGAATGTGAATGAAAGAAGTAAAATATCCTCAAAAATAACATATAAAATCTAGAATATGAATGAAAGAAGGAAACTTTCTTCAAAGATAGCATATAAAACCTTGAAATAAACATATTATGAAAAAAGAAGGAAATTTTCCTCAAAAATAACATATAAAACTGTGATATCAAAAGATTGTGACAAAAATTAAGCAATTGAAAATCTAAATTTATATATATATATATATATATATAAATATAATATATATAATAATTATATATATATATATATATAAATATATTCTGTCGCTGATGCTGTAACAAACAAACAACACACCAACCCAAAGTATGAAAATGAAGAAACTAGTACCAAGTTGCCATTTAAATTAGTAGTGATTGACTTGATTCGGTCTACATGCTAACATTGAAATATAAAAAGTGATGGGCCTATTTCGAGTAAATGAGTAGGGGCCTAGATCAGTCCATATCACTTACCAGTCAATGAGGCCACTTGTACCAAGGTTTCTCTGCTCTCTCTCTCTCTCTCCATATGCCCAGGTGGCTCATCGGAATCCCTCTTCTCTCTCTTTCTCAGTGTATAAAAGTATATGATATATAAAAGGTAATTTTTCTGGAGGAGACCGCGATTGGCGGGAAAGGAAAATTTGACGAGAGGCACCCTAATCCCACTTTTGATAAAATATGGTGGCAAAAAACCGTCCAAGTTCAGCAACATGAAAGAAAAATCTGTTGGACGAAGGAGGCACCGTAATTCGCTGAGAACCGCGTATAAATCAGGAATCACATAGGATGCAACAATCTGATGTGGTACGCCCAAATTCACACAGTCAAAAATCTCAACCAAACAACATATTTAATATAAAAACTAAGATTATAAATTTGTGGGCCCCAATTGTTAATGCAAGATTACAAATTAAGCACCAAAATTACTAAAACAAACAGCCCCGAAGAGAAAGCCTCTAACTAAATCCACCGGTCATGGAGAGGATGTAATACAACACATGGATTGATAGGACCTCCAAATCATAATTTTCTACTTAGACCATCAGCAGCAGAAGGGCAAATATTGCCCTTTTTCTTTCAGCTCCACAGCAGAAAAGCAAATATGTACTTTTTTACTTTATCTATACCCCACCATATTTTATCTTTCCTCCACATCACTCTATCATATACCCCACCATATTTATTCATTTTATATTCATATTTATTTATTTGACACAAACTTAGGCTCTATTTATAGAGCTTGAAAAATGAAAAATATTGATATAAAAATTAAAAATTAATTTTAATTAATTATGGGCCAAAATAATAAATTACAAAATAGGAGGATAAGAAAATCAGGTGTTTGTAGGTGTGGGGCCCACAAAATAAGGAGGATGAAGATTTTTTTAAATTTTGTTTGCAGGTGTGGGGCCCACAAAATCAGAATTGCCCATGGGCAAATTTTGCTCTCCATTTCCTTCTCTCTCCATTTGCTTTCCAATTTGCTTCACTGCTGCACATGGTCTTATATTTCCTTTCTATCCTTTTTCTCTGTTCTCATATATGATTACATAAGCCTTTCTTATATAGGCTTAGGTCATCCATCATGTCAATAGTTTTAATGATGTGGAACTCTTTTAAAAAGTCAATCTGTAACCATTGTAGATAAGATAGAATTGTTTTGGCTAGGCATCTCATACCAAGAGCCAATTCCTAATGAATTTAATTATCAATAAAATTTTACTAATAATTTTAATTTAACAATAAATCCCCATCCGACCAACTATCCATCAAATCTCTTCCATAATATGGGATTAGAATATTAAATAATATTATTTTCTTATATTTAATCCCTTCCGGTATTAATTTATGTTTCTTTTAGACAAATTAATAAGCAGGACGATCCACCTATTTGCTCATCTAAAAGTTGTATTCCCCATGAACAAAAAATCACTGTGAGAATATCAATAATATTATAAGAAATATATTTTTAAAAACTTTTCCCAAACAACATACCAGCAGGGTTTCATAACTTCATGAGATTGTTAATAAATTATTCTCATCATAAAGAACATATCGGATCATATCTAAATATCTATCATTTCCTTAAATAAAATATAGCTACCTAACATTTTAGGTTTTACAGCAATTGTAATAAAATAAGTTAACCATCATATAAAAACATATTAGATTATCAAATCGAAAATGACAATATCATTAAATCTAAGGGGCCACGTAACAATTAAATTCTCTATCTCGTCGGTGACTTGTCCTAGAAAATCCAAATGCAACCTAGTACTACACGACTCACAATATATATGTGTTCATGGTATACACTTGGGAAGTATCCAATCCCAGTGGTTGAGACCCACCACTACATCAGATATGTCAGTGCCATGCATGATAATCTGTTATCACATAGTTATCCTATACTAATTATAGATTAAGTATAATTTTAAAAAATCTCTAAATTAAATCATATCTCTAAGCAAATGATGCGTCACAATACATGATCTAATAAAACAGTTTCTAAGGATAACATAATTATGTATAGGACACCCAAATAATATGTGCAACAATGAAATCTTCATTAATACTATATAAATTGTACTGGATGTGTATGGGCATACTACACTACTCTAGCTAGTTCTACCTATTTAAGTGGAATCAAATCAAATGTATCATCACTCCACCCTAAATGAAATCCAAACTCAAATGTAATAGAAACTTTGGAGACCCCGAAAAGAAGTCAAATTCTACTACTCTTCCCCATACGATGAAACATAAATCGCCAAAACGTAGTGCTACTCCTACTGTATTGTATTAAATACAATAATGCAAGCAGGTTACCAGTTTGCAGAGAAACAAACAATAAAAAAAATTTATCATTAGTTCAGTTCCAGTTATCTGGGCACTAAATTGCGTCATGAATAGTCATAATTCTCCAACTAACTCTAACAAAACTTCTGTAGAGAAGATTATCAACCACTATAACAGAATCGTGTATACTAAACTGTGCATTATAAAAATATAATGTGAGAGATAAGGGAACTTGCAGATTATAAGTGTAAATAGAGACACTATTTACAAGAACAAGCGATAACCCAACCCATCCACAAACAATCTTGTAAGAATATGAATGTCAAAGACTCAAAATCAAGGACCTGAGCAAAACTGAAAGAGTAACTCATCTTGCTTCATCACCCATGCTTCAAGGCTATGAACCGAGCAGCCAAGTCATCATAATCCGGAAGCCTCGGATGCAGTCGTCCTCCATTGGGGCTCATCGAGTCTGGCTGCAGAGAAGTGGTACGAACAGGCCTTCTACCTACACCGCCCTCTACTACAGGAGTTGTTAGCTCCGGTGGCAGGGAAGCTACTCTCTCTGGACGATAACGCAGTGATTCTGCTGTACTCTGATCCTTAGCAGGCTCCACAGGAGGAGGCTTTGTCCTGGTTCTCCTGCTCGGCTCGTTGCTTGTCCCTTTCTTACTGTAATGAGCCAGGAGCCTGTCCATGGCTTCTTCCTCCACATCTAATCTCTTGACCTCATGTTGTCTTCGATCTGCAACACCTACTTTTTCTTTCCTCTCCCATCGATCTGCAACCTCCGCATCATACAGATCACCATTGAGCAGCCTACGGCTGGGTGTAGTCGTATGCTCTGTCTCAATACCCAATGCTGGTTTAGGAATTCTCCTCCTAACGGAAACAGGCTTGCCTCTGTCACCAATGTCGGATTTTTCATAATCAACAGCAATGTAACTCTTGATTGGCTCATCAGTGAGTTTACTGTCATCAGGAAGAGTTGATGCCTTTCTCAAGTGAGGCTTGGTATAAGGAGGAGGTATCAAACTGATTGGCCTTGCATCCTTTGACCTCATCGGAAGTGAAGGCCTCGCCTCATGCACAGAAGGATCCAACAGTTTATTCACAGCTCTCGGGATATCATCATCATAGACAGGAGAATCATCAACAGTCTGTTTGTGTGGAGGAACCATATTGACTGCTTTCACATCCCTCGAAACCACGGGTGCAGCAGACTGACTCTCGAGGCCGATGAGACCTGGTTCTTCTTGCCCCACAGGCGATCTAGCCCACGCAGTGCCATTAAGCCAATCTTTATGGATACCATTCTGCCTAACTTTCGGTGTTTTGGACCAATCATCTTTCAGCACATCAGTATAGTTCCCCTTTGCTTTATTATCGTAGGCCGGTTCAACATTCTCTGTTTCCTCAGCAGTAGTGGATACCCTTCGGCCATTGCGGATGGTAGGAATTACATGGATGTCTCTGGGCTCAGGCTGTACTTGCTGTTTTTGAACAGAACTTCTCAGAGGAGGAGGTACCCATCTCTCCTTATATGGAACCTCTCGGTCACCTCCTGTGCTCAATGCTGCTTCATTTTTCGAATTAATAACTGCTTCCTTTCTTCCATTAACTTTAATATCTGCATCGAGGGCTACTTCCTTTCTGCCATTAAATGAACCACCTCCATTGAGGACTGCTGCTCCATCTCTACTTGAATTTGTAACTGCTTCCTTTTTCTCATTAAATGCAATATCTGCACTGAGAACTGCCTCCTTTCTTCTGTTGAATGAACCAGCCGCATTGAGGACTGCTCCATCTTTATTATTAACTGGATCACGCAAATTGGTGACTCCTTCCTTTCTTACATTACCTGCAACATTTGCAGCAAAGATAGGTTCCTTTCTTCTGTTGACTGAAGCAGCTGCATTAAGGGCTGCTCTGTTCTGAGCGGTAACTTCACTAGCTGCATCGAAGACTGCTTCCTTGCGCTGATTAACTGCTGAATTGTTGTTACTGCTTCTTTTAGGTTGATCCTGTAAAAGGACAGGAATGATAAATTCTACTATCCTCGAACATACAAGAATGAATTGAACTTGGTAGGACCGCTATGAATGTAGTTCTGAAGCAGTGTGGAATTTACCAAGGGAGGTGCGTTTGGATTAGATTGTTTTTGACGGAAAGCCTGAGAGTCCCATCTTACAGAAAACTCATCAGCAATATCTTGCATCAATTGCAGCTTCTTGTTCATTGAAAAGGACTTCTTTTGTACTTTCTCAACAAACTAGAATAAAGAACGATTGAAAGCTATCAGAATTGAAACATTTGAATAGGGCCAACATGTTGGAAAAAAAACAATAAGGAGAAGGTTTAATTACCAAGGCATCCACGGATGATTCCATTTGACTCCCGTATCTCTCTCTGAATACTTGTCTGAGATCAGATAATTCTGGCAGATCAGAAAACCTTGCAGCAGCAAAAATAAGAGTCGAGATAGCTTCCATAGCTCCTTCAGGACATTCCCTGCTCAAAACAGACACAGGCACATTCTGCTGTCACTCACTGTTAATAAGAAAGTACTGGAGAATAAAAACAAACTTGCACTTGACAGTCAGAACTTGTAAATATTTTAGGTTGTACATGGATTGGATAAGGGTCTATTATCCTTGAAATTGACTATACACACACACACACACACACTCACACACACACACATATATGACTAGACAAATTATCAATAGTAAAGCACATCTCAAGGGGTCATGGCATGCACATTAGCTTGGAATCAAGCATAAATATGCTCGATATTAGTGGCTAGAGAAATTCAAACAATGTTACCCAATTGGAAAGATGTAGTGGCAAAGGCCATTGATCTAGATGGTTATCCGGCTAATAGTCTTGAAACAGCCCATAATGTCTAAACGGGGAAATCCTACTATAATCTTGTATCCACTTGTATTAAACCATCTATTATCTATCTACTATCCATGGAACATATGGAAGTTGGAACTAAAGATCAACAGTTTTCCCTTTCTGTCTTCTGTTTGCTTAACATGAGTGCTTGTGAGTCAGACTTGAGCCATGTACTCCACAAAATACCCTTTAGTTTGCTTAGTGGCCTCTATTTGAGTTGAAGTATACATTTTAGACTGATTTTTTATAATTATGCATGCATTACATACAAGCGTACATAAATACATACTTACATGCCTATATACATTCAACAGAATGTTAGATACAGGACTGTGTATTTATAGTAGCTTGCTTTATTTTACCTATACAGTCCTAAAATGAAAATCATATATAAAATGACAAGTATTGTAAAGGCTTCTGTTAAAGCCTATTTCCTTGTCTGATTCATCCTGCTCCACCTGACTAGAAATAGCAGGGCAGACTTCAACAATTTTTTACCTTGTTGAAGTCTGGTTGTGACTCGTCAGATTTATCACCCTTTATTTTTGAGATCTGTCTTCACTGATTTTAGGATCAGTTTTAGTGTGTCTTCCTATTTCCTTGTTGAAACCAAAATTATGTCGCCCAGAATCTAATATTGCTGGCTAATAAAATACCTAACCTGATAATGTACCTGTGACAAATTTTTACCTTACAAGAGTCTGCCAATTGTTTTAACCATATAATTCATAGTAGGGAAACAATTGAAAAGTAACTCATGACTGCAAGTACTTTCATTTCGATATTACGTTGATAACTTTTGAGATTTCTGGATATACAACTGTAATTGCTCAACATGCTAGAGAAAGCATATGAACCATATGCACAATCACTTAAAACACTATAAAAAATCTTGGCAAAAGTGTTGCGTTTCAGAAGAAAACATTACTCCAAATATTTGAGTACTTATGATTGTCTAACCCCCAATCTGAAACTTACCCACTATCAGCAATCATTTATGTCCTCTGTTTCTATTTTTCTATCTGCAAAATACTTAGTTGGATCGCACATGGAAGTTCATAACAAGGTTGATTTTTCAAGTGACAAAAAACTTTCCTCAGTTCAGCTGAAATTTTATCCCTTAATTGACAAATGCTAATCCAAAGCAATAGATCGTGACACACCTATCAAGTTTCTAAATGATTTTTCCTTTTTTCCCCCTCAAACAAACCTAACCAGTCATCTAAAAGTTAGACGTCCAAGTTACAAGCAAAAACAAAAACAAAAAAAAAGTAAAATCGTCTTAAGTGTTAAGAAAAGTGGATGGTGAAGAGACTTGGACCTCCGTATGCCTCTACCAACCTTTGCACCTTCCTTTCTTGTTCAATTGCCATGACTGAAGATGATCATGAAACTCCACATAGTTAGGAGTGGTAAACGAACAAAACAAATCAAATCAAATCAAATACTAAGATGTTTGTACCTGTATTTGTTTAAAACCATCGAATTCAAACCCGAACTCAAATATCCACGTCTAGAGTTTTTCGAATCCAAACTCGAATACTCGGTATTCGATACATACTCATGAATATTCACGAATATTTATCGAATGTAAGCATATTCATTCCGCTAATGAATTTAATTTTTAAATAGTATTTAAATCAATAAATGAAAATCATTTCTTTATAGTTATGATGAATATATATATTTAATTTGATTATTTCATTAGAAAACTTATTTAAGATTCTTTAAGGCTCTCAAAATTAGTATATAGAACTTAAGTAGAAAATATAAGTTTGAAGATATAACATCATATGTCTACTAATACAAATTATGAGTGATCAAATTTTAAAAGAATATTTGATAACAAATGAATCGAATATACATCAGGTTAAATTCTATTTGTTAATGAACTCGAATACTAAATATTATTTGTTTAGAGTTAAATGAACTTCCGAATCGAATATGACGAACAGTTAGTCAAAGAATTAACATGCTATTTGTTAATTATTTGATTCGTTTCCACCCCTACACATACTTGTAATGTAGAATTTCTCAATGTTTAAGCTTTATCTATCGTCATAGAGATGAATACGGACATCACCACTTTCGTTTTGTTTGATACATTAAACACATAAGTTTTCACTTCACGGCTATAGAATCCTCCAGTTGTGCAATGGTGCCTACGGTCCATCAAGAGAACAGAGATTGTGTAAACATATCAAGCATGGCTTGTTGGACCTTAATCAGCAATTTCCCACATTTATAAGACATGTATGTAGCTAAGATTAAACCGAATAGGAGATAAATTCATAATCCAATTGTACCGATGAGAAGCACGTAATATTAAATTATTCGAATTGATTTCTCCACACAAGAAGAGGACTTTCTAATGTAAAGTCTAAGACGGTAACTAAGATCTGCATACCTCTGCTTTTGTAAGCCTGAAAGCTGATTCAGAATGCATTGACCATATTGTTCAATCATATCATAGCAAGATGCATGATTTATTTCAACGATTAATGCTTCAATCTGCACCAGAAAAGAAGTAAGGGTATTGATTCAGAGAACAGGAGAAAACAGCTGAACAGTTCAAATAAATGAACAAGTGGTTAAAAGGATACATTGGTTACATCATTGCGAATTGCGAATATTAGAAGTACAAATTTTTTTGATTACGAAACGCAGGGCCACTTGATGAACATAGAGAGTCGAAAAGTCCGAGCTCGTTTTCCATGGGCGTGCTAACCATTTGGGAATCAGAAGTAATTTACCAAATCTGAAAAATAAGCTTCTAAATTCTTTGAAGCAAAACTTTTCTCAGGAATTAGAATTTTATTTCTAATTCAACGAATTGTCATTGACAATCATACAAGGCCAGCATGAACCACATACTTGATTGAATCATAATTGGGTTTTGCGATCCACATCAGACAAACAAATCAGACAAAACTTAACCAACAACATTCCTGAGCTTGAAACACTGGTAGCGGATCCCATTTATTAATTCGAATTAACAAGAAGCGAGCATGCAACAAAAAGAAAAAGGAATTCCAAAAAATTAGGAAATAAAATGTTTTTTTTTATAAAAAGAGAAAATTAAAAAGAAAGTTACCCTGGCAAAAGCTTTGGAATCATGTCCACTGGCAAGGAGCTCGGCGACATCCTTCTTCAGACACCTCACCGTCGCCTGCCTCTTCTTCCTTATGAGCTGAACTCTGCTACTGATGCATTTCAAACAATACTTGCTACAAAATACGAAGGAAAACAAAAATAAAAGAAATAAATTTTTATTAAAAAAAACCCCCAAATAAGGTAAACAGAACCGAAAATGGAAAGAAAACCCATGAGCATCTTCCTCTTCCATTCCCGTTCAAATCAAATTTAAAAAAAATTGATGAATTGGGCAAGAGACGGTTACCATTTTTTTGAGAATTTGCTACCAAGCAGACTGTTAAACATTGTTGCTCTCCCTCGAGGTCTATATCTCTGTAGAGGATGAAGGGGAGAGGTTTATGAGATGGGCATTAATCAATTGATAACAGAATGCAGCGAGCAAGAGAAATAAAAAGGAGAGGAAAGAGAGGGAAACGGGAATCACAAGGAAGAGGAAAAGGTGGCGGTGGTGGTCGTGGTGGTGGGCTGAGCTGTACAGGAGATGAGACGGCAGAGATATAATGAGGGACAAATTTTCAAAACCAACCCTTTTGGTTTTTTATTTGTAAAAAACGACCTATTTCAGTTTTATTTGCAAAAACCGACCTGGTTTCAGCCTCAGCGCTGAAACCAGGTCGGTTTTTGAAAAAAAGTTTCCGAAACTTCACGGGAGTTGAACTCCCGTGAAGTTTAGCAGCTTAATTAAAAGCTGCTAAACTTCACGGGAGTTGAACTCCCGTGAAGTTTAGCAGCTTAAAGAAAAAGGGGGGTATTTATATATATATATATATATTTTTTTTTTTTTTTTTAAAAGAGAGAAAGCTCTGGGGTATTTTATTTACTTTCCTTTTATTTATTTGAAACAGAGGTATATGCTCCACTACTGCGATGAGCTTTAGTGGTGGGCATGGCGCCCACTTCTTCTTCCCATTTATTAATTTATTATTATTGATGATAGATAGGTATCCCTTTTTGCAAAAAGACCCTTGTCTTAAGTTTGTATTGCGTGTCTTCTGATGTACGGCGCCATCACAAGTCTGACTCCTGATGCTTGTTAGCTTAAACCATGACGAATGGGCATTTAGAGGGTGGTGAACCAAGCAAATACTAGTTAATATTTGTGAAAAGACTTGTTCTTTTCCTTTTTTGTTTAATATAAATTTGATATGGAAAGTTTTAACTTGAGAATCTCCGCATCTATCCAGAAATGTAATGACAAGAAAACATCATAAAATTCTATGCAAGTAGAAGTTAAAAATGAAACAATTTCCTTGTCCACCTTATCCATTTAAAATTTATGATTTTCATTGTGTAGAATTTATAGACTATGTTTTTTAATATCAAGTGTATATTTCCGCCAGCAAACTGACTATATACGCAAACACCGCTGGAAATAGACAGATAATATAGTCTATGTCTTCAATTTCAAGTGATTTGTCGCTTCCTTTCTAGAACATGAAGAGCTTTTTCTTTATTTCCTTTTTTAGCTCTTTCATGTGAAAATATGTTTTTGATTTAATTAATATATTTGTAATAAGTAAGAAGACAGCTGCGTTTGTGCAAAAAAAAACGAAGCAGCTTGCTTATGAGGGAAGGAGAGCAAGGGTCGGGCTAAGGAAGTGGGACGTGGGACCCACATTGAAATGTGTTCGCGTTTTCCGCTGTTGGTTACCTCCCGTTAACCTAACCCTCCTTGACTTACCGTTGTAAAACCCAAGGATGCTGCTCTGACTAAAATACCCCCACGATCGTGCCGCTTGCTCCGACTCATTTCGGAACGTTGCGAGGGCGTGGTTGGAATCTCAACCCTCCCCTAGGGCCGTGTCGAGGCCATATTGTTTAACAAGGAGCATCAGGGCCTGAGAACGTGGGCCCCACGAAAAAAGCTGGGAGAGTCGTGGCGTGGGAGACCCCATTATGTAGGAGGCACGAGCCAAGCAATTCAAAAAAATTCTCCTGCTCCAACGTCCAAAGTACGGAACTTGCGCATGGAAAGTTTCGTGCGAGCTAAGAATGACCTTCGGATGATCTACGGATGGTGGATAGAGGAGTTTGTGTGTGTATGGCTTTTATGCGGGTAATTTCCTGAAAGGCGCAGTTAGTTTGTTGATGAGCTGGATCCAATCGTGAGTCGCCTCCACGCACAGCTCACATGCACGCCTTTTTCCCGTTCTTGAGAGAGAGAGGAGCAGCTAAAGAGTATACGCTTCGCTTGCTTATGGTTTAAGTAAACCTACTCATAATCATGTTCTATAAAGAGCAGCAAAAACAGTGACAAGTAACAGCAAGAAAAGAACATATGCATTCTCTAATAAATATTTGGTTTTCTAGAAGGTAAAGTTCTATTTATTCTCGATTTATAGGAAGTATAGATTATTCTATGATAAAAACAGATTTATGAATAGATGCGGATTTTTTTTTTAAATTAAAGATTCAGCCAAATGGTTAATTTTGCTCAATCTTGTGGGCTTACATAACCACCCTAAAATTTGCCAAACGATTAATTTTGCATAATATTGTGGGTATACATAACCACGCTAAAATGTTGGGGCGTTTTAGAAACCCCTATGAACTTTAACATTTTCACACCAAACCACCATATCTATAATTTATAATAATTAAAATATTATTTATAGAAAAATCTTAAATTTAATCATTTGCGAACAATGTATCCCTCCCCCTCAATTTCCTTTTCTTTGAAGACGTCTTTTTATTTGTGAATAACTTATAAGTGTGAAAACGACAAAGGAATTGAGAAAAATAATTGAGAAAAACGTGAAAAATAAACAAGACAGACTTCATGACACCCTGGTGGTGTATGCCACACCCTGGCCTGGTGTGACAGAATCTGTTCCTGTTGACATGAGTATGGTGTCTGTCACACCTGGGTGTGGCAGAATCTGTCCTGTTTTCAAGGGTGTGGTGTGTGGGTGTGGCAGACTCGTTTTTAGAATCCCAATCTGTTTGGGATTTGTGTTTTGTTATAAATAGAACCATGTTTTTAGGGTTTCTTAAGGAGAGAATTAACGGGTTTTTGAGCACTTTGAGAGGGAGATATTGTGAGAGAGTTGAGAACTTTGGTTAGGGTTATATTTGAGTGATTTTGTGAGTTGTAACCCGTTGTATTTCTTCTTCATATAGTGAAATCTCCCCATCCTCTTCCCGTAGACGTAGGAAATTGTCGAACCACGTAAATCCATGTGTTTGTGTGTGATTTTGGTCGTTATTTTATGAATTGCACCCGTAATTTGGTTTGGTTCTCTTCTCTCATCGCTCACCGACTCGTTTGGTTGTCGAGCACGCTTCCGCACGGCGCGCAACAATTGGTATCAGAGCACTAGGGTTTCAGATCTAGGGTTTTGGCATTAGGTGGATAAAGATTCGTCGTGGAAGCTTAGTTCTTGGAGGTCTAGGCTTCGGTGGAGATAGGGTTTGGGGTTATCGTTGAAGATCTTGTTTTCCTCGTGTGGCTAGGAGTTCTATTTGGAATCCAATCTATGGTTTAATTGGGTAATTCCTCAATCCTTTCAAAGTTTGAATCTTTCTTTGTAATTTAGAGTTTATAAGTATGGGTGGAGAAGTTGGTGAAAGCAGTAAGATAGCGGATACAGTTCAAGTTGGTTTTCAAAACACTAAAATTAGTGTGGTTAAATATGACGGAAAAATCAATTTTGGTTTGTGGATGAGCGATGTACATGACGCTCTCAGTGTTCAAAATTTAGAAGAGACCATCATGATCCATGAGAGGCCACCAAAATACGAGGAGGCGATATGGGAAAAGATGAATAGGAACGCTTGTGGTGTGATCAGATCCTGTTTGGAACATGAGCTGAAGTATGATGTGATTGGGGTAACGTCTGCAATGAAGATGTGGGAGATTCTCAACAATAAGTATCTTACGAAGAGTGTTGAGAACCAATTGCACTCGCTGTATAGATTATTCAGATTTCAGATGTCCAGGGGCACCTTACTAGTAGTTCATGTGAATAACTATACTAAGTTGTTGTCGGACTTGGCGAATGTTGATGAGAAGATATCAGATGAGTACAATACGATTATTTTTTTGGGTTCCTTACCTGATGAGAAGTATGATACCTTTGTGCTTACTTTGTTTAATGGGAGATCTTCTATCAGCTATAGTAAAGTAACTAACGCTTTGACGAACTATGATTTGAGGAGGAAGGACAAAGAGACTTCTCACGCTAGTACTTCAGGAGAGGCCTTATCGACGAGAGGAAGAAGCCCATATCCAAAAGGTGGTAATAGGAATAGGTCAAAGTCTAGAGGTCGTCACTAGTTATTGAAGAACCAGTGTGCGTTCTGTAAGGAACAAGGGCATTGGAAGAGAAACTGTCCAAAGATTAAAGAGAAGGAGAATGGCAAGAAAAAGGGCCCGAAGGCCAATGAGGTGAATGTTGCGAAAGGCGATGATTCCAATGATTCAAGCTTTTCTCTTTTGATTACTCCAGAAGTGAACCATTTAGATGCATCAGATTGGATGCTTGATTCTGACGCTACTTATCATATGACTCCTAGGCGAGATTGGTTTACATCATTTGAAAGACACGATGGGGGTGTTGTTGTCATGGGAAATGAATAATCCTGTGATATTAATGGGATAAGTACTGTGAGGATTCGGATGCACGATGGAGTAGTCTGTGAATTGAAAGAGGTGAGATTTGTTCCTCAGCTGAAAAAGAATTTTATTTCTGTTGGAGTTTTGGAGGCAAAAGGATTCAATGTGACCTTTGAATACGCTGTAGCAGAGGTTACTAAGGGATCTTTATTGGTGATGAAGGGAGTCCGCAGTTGAAACTTGTATTATCTGAAGGGGAGCACTGAGATTAGCCAGGTAGATTCAGCTATTTTAGAGGCGAACATGAACAGACTTTGGCACGACAGGTTAGGGCACACAGGAGAGAAGTTACTACAGGCATTGTGCAAGCAAGGACTATTGAAGGGAGCCAAGAATGGAAAGATTGAGTTTTATGAGCACTTTGTTCATAGCAATAAGACGAATATGAAGTTTGGGATAGTCATTCATAGGACGAGGGGCATCCTGGATTACGTGCACACAGATATTTAGGGTCCCACAAAGACTGCATCACTTGGTGATCGATATTGGTTCGTCACGTTTATTAGACCCTAATGCCACTAGGAAAGAACCCTAGAGGGGGCGTGAATAGGGTTTATGCTAATCTAATCCGATTTAATGTCAATTAAAAACTTACTAATAAATATCCTAGCAAATTAGATATGCAACACTTAATATGCAAGGATATGAAACTAAATGTGATATAAACACAAAGCAATATAAACAAGATAGTGGACAAGATAAACAAAGAGCAATTGACAATGGCGACAAGAACGTAATGAATACTAAGTACAAATGAAACGCCAAAGCAAACTCAAATACAAGCAAATGATCACGGAGTTCGGACCTTCCGTCCTACGTCTTCGCTCCCACTTCCGGGGAGAAATTCACTATCACAACCGGGTTTTCTACGCTCACCCG